ACCATCTAGTTGTACTGAACTCAGTCTGGTGCAGTCTGTGGTAGTTGTGGTCCATTAGACCTTTGGACTAATCTTTCCCATGTAATATACTAAGTTTATCTATAGGATGCCTCCATTTTTTACAAATGGGTGTCTGGTGAAAAGCCCATTTTTACATTGGTTATATAGCCTTGATGAATTAATAGTCTTCAAACATTGATTCCTTCTCTGGCTTTATTATTCTGAATTGAGGGTCAGCCCTGTTTGTTTGTCTTGTCTTCTTTAGTGGACCTCGTATCTCCCCAAATTCTTTTAATTATTTAAGTTGCCCTTTTATGGATTTTTCAAGTGCTTTTAAATTGTCTTGTTGTGATGATCTAAATGACTCATAATTTTGTTTTCCGGGTGGTTTTTATACAATAGTAAATTTTATTGTTTTGAAAGTACTTTGTTTTTGGATATCCTATAGTTTTTATTGAACATAGTTGAGAGTTCAGTTTTGTTGTTGTCACTGGTGCTGTTTGCTTTATATTGTTGTTTCACGGTATAGTATGACAATTAGAGTATGTTCTCATTCAGATGTACTTATTTGTAATCAATAGGAAGACATCTAATTTTCCATGCATGTAATTTCATGTGAGAGTTCACAAGTCTTTAAGCCCTTATAATCAAATCAAACCTTAAAACCAGTGTAGTACATTGTATAGCTACTTCTAATATGGTCAAAGATTACATCACTAGATCTAGTCAACTATACTGTAAACATTTTCCTTTAACCTCAAGACATATATAGTTCCTTATTCTCTCTCCTCTACCCCCACTTGTACTCTTCTTTGGAACAAGGAGGAGGATAGGATTTTTTTTTTTTTTTTTTTTTTTTTTTTAGTACTCTTTGTAATTAGCTCTGAAGAGCCTCTGAACTGTAAGCTTTCACTGAGAAGAGTTCCACAGCTTTCCAAGCTGTGTATGGAACAAAACTTGGCTTTTACTTCTAGGGAGCTGCACAAATGACATGCTGCTAAGAATCCCAAGCGGAAAACTGAAACATTTAACCTGGTTTGTTTGTGTTTTTTGAAATCATTTCTGTATATTTTATCACTTTGAAGTGTTATTTACAAAACTGCCTTTATAATTGACAGATAATTAAATAAATGGTATAAGAACATTTTCTAGAAATAGAATACATTAGGTTAATTTCTTTAGGAATCTCCATACTAATGTCATTGAGCTGTTTTTAAAACCGCCCATAGTAAATAGAAAATAAGTTACCTTTCTGAGGTATTTTTGCACATTTGTGAACTTTGTTTAACCCTTCCTATACAATCAGGATCCAATGGATCCAATTTTTGAGTTTCTTTTTGGGGCTATTCTTACTGTTTGTAAGGATTATTATTTCATGACTTTTATTCCTTCTTAGAGGTCTTCCAAAAACAAAGAGAAAAATTTACTTATTTTTTTTAATAGAATACAAATCTTGCAATTACTATATGGGTCCATTGAATCCGTTTATATATCTAAGATATATTATGGGGTCATTAATCATCAGTGGTTCCCAACTATGCTAAAAAAGATTCAAATTATGAGAATAATGATGCAGTAGTGAAATAAATCATCATTATTATATCATTGTTCAATTTTCTCATTGTGTTGCCCAGAGTTTTACATCATCTTTCAAGAAAGTTTAAAAGAAGTCTTGGAGACACCATCTTTATGGTTTGTTGTTGTTATCTTTCATTAAACACATTTGAGAATTCAGCATTTTTCTTTTTTTGTCCATAATGGCAAAGAGAAGATTGACAAAAAAGTTTCATAATGAGTAAATGGATCAGAAGATGAATGAAAAGAGGCAAATAGCAGCACTTTAGACTTGTACTAGCCAGATTTAAATTAGTTAAATTAAAGCTTAAAAGTTAGTTCCGTAGTCACAACTAGCCATATTTCAAATGCTTGGTGACCACAATCTCACCCGGGGCAAATATAGAATATTTCCGTTGTCACAGAAAGTTCTTCTGGACAACACTACTGTAGATGCTAATGATGATGGTAAGGTGACCATATAAGCAAAATCTCAGACTGTGAAACCTCATTTGATGATATCCTGGGTGATTTTTCTCAGCGTCAAGAATCAATGAATGAACAGTACATTTCTAAACACAGAAAGGAAATTCAGTATTCTCATCTAGTCAGTCACTCAGTAGGAAGGACTTTTTCATAAAATAGTTTGCAGCGAGAATCTGAATTATCCTAGTTTGCGGAACAATCATGTAGCATTATTCTTTCAACTTTTATGATGTTCCTACATCAAAATTTATTTGGTACAGTTTGTAAATGGGCAAGTGCTGAAGGCAGATGTGTATACTAAGGTGATTGGAAGAAAATACATGATGTAGAAATGAAAAAATTCATTGATTTGATTAATTGGTATTTACACATCTAAAAATAAAAAAAATATCTTACAAGTATAAAGCAAATAAGATGGCAGTCTTCACAAAATTATAGGCTATCGAGGTTTTCATTGATAGTAATATACTTTGATGATATAAATGCAAGAATAGCCAGCCTGATTATAAACTATAACCTATTAGAGATGTATTTGAAATCTAGAAACAATATTTATTCACAAGATGGCTATGTTCCAATTTCATGCACGAGAACTGATAAGCAGTTAGTTGGCATTGAAAGCACATTGCCCATATTGGTTACATATATTTCAAAACCAGGAAAATATGGAATAAATATTTGAGTTTACTATGTTTAAATTCTTGTTACAATTTCTAATAAAGTTGGGTTTTTTTTTTTTGTTTGTTTGTTTTTTCACTTTCTCTTTATTCTTTTGTAAATTCATTCATAAAGTCATTTAAAAATAAAATTAAAAGAGTCTGCTGGACCCAGATGGTAAGTGGTGATAACTGTTTTTCCTGGTATACTAAGCATTAGTATGTCCTAGCTCTCCTCTTCCAGAATCTTTTAAAAGAAAAAATGCTTCTTGAAGAGATGCCATAAACCCCATGATTTGTTTCCTGGACTTCATCATTTAGTGTTTGTGTATTTGATGACTCATGCAGCTATGGAGCACATGAAATTTGATTACAGTGTGAATATGAGATCATTAAATCAGAAGAATAATACAAATAACAGTACTACATATTCAAAATTGGTCCTTTTATAAAGTTTTTTTAAATTTACTGTCATGATTTTGTTTATAATTTGTGAAACATGAAAATTTCCCCTCAGTCATAACAGAGCCAAGCTATATGTTTACATTGAGAAATTAAATACAATGCTACAGTCCAATAGTAAAAGTGGGACACAAGCATTGAACTTGAGGAGCTATAGTTTTTTTCCTGACTGGCTGAAGATGGACAGGTACTGTTATATTGCCTTTTTTAGAATACATTTTTACCATACTTCTTCAATTTGCTTTCTCCAGCAGAATATTTGAAGTTGATGTTAGGTTTATTTTGACTATTATGAAATGTCAGATTTTATGAATAAATTGTTTTGAGTAGTAAGAGATAATTTTTTTTTTGAATCCTTTCGAATCATGTTGAAGAAAGGACATTGTTTTATATTCAGGTGCATATATAAATTTAATTTAGTTCTCATCAAATGTTGCATCTTATTTTTTCCTATTTCTTTATCACTCCAGCTAGTAAAATGTCCTTCCTCTGAACTCAGAGTACTTATTATCTGTTGTTAAATCGACAACATTGTTTTTATGACCACCTTTTTATCTTTGTATTTGTTGCAGGCCTGTTTAATTAAACTGTCTGTAGGTTTCTTGAAGTTAAAGAACTTAATTTCATTGCATTCTCGTATAGCCTGTCCTGCTGCTGTGCAGATAGAATAACTACTCAAATATTTGTTAAAAGATACATTTACTGCATGCAAACTGTGATTTGTTACTACAGGATATTTAATAGATATTCCACTCATTCAAAATTAGGAGGCTTATGGATCTATCTTTAGCAGAGAGAAAAGGAACTGAAGAAAATAGTCATTAGTGACCATTTTCCTATTCCTTTTAAATTTGTTCTCTCATTCCAGCCTGTTAAAAATCTGTTGAATGAATGAAAATTATTAAAGGTGCTAGACTCTGTTATGGAAACAAAGAACTATAAGAATAGTCCTCTCCCAGAGAAGTTTCTTATGTAGTAGGGAAAAAAGTAAATAGACACAGTTACTGTGTATTATCTGTTGTATTACACAAGTGTGCATATAGCATTTGCCAAAGAGATGGTATAAAATGCAATAGGATATCATAAGATCATTTTTGGCTGAGGATTCAGAGATCTGCAGAGAAGTAGCATTTGAACAAACCTGAAAGAATAAAGTTAATAGAGAATATATTCTAATAAACCAGAATAACATAATCAATTTTATTTTGAACCAAATTTTGTAAGATTAGATGGAATGTCTGAGTTTGTTTCAATAAGTCCTCAAAACCTTAAAAAAAGAAAAGAAAAAACTTTTATAAATGCAAGTATGTTAAGACCTTCATAATGAAGTATGTTTATAGTGCTGTTGCTAAGTAATTCATTTCTAAGTTAAAAAAAAAAAAGTTCTCAAAAGGCATATGTGTATCTATAAAATTTAGGTAGAAATTGATGCAAATGATAACACAGAACCACTTTGAAGAATTACCTTGGTTTTCCAGTGTCTTCAGGATCTGTTTTTGGTTAGTCTCTGAGTATCGGTTGCTCAAATACTCCTCCATATTTTACTTTTTTTAAAACTGCTTTGACTGGTCTCACACATTGACTTACAGATGAGCTTTGCTATCTCAGTAGCCCTAAAAACCCCATTGGAATTTGGTATTCGATTAATTTGAAATAATTAATGTGTTAAAATATGTAGTCTTCCCAGCCAAGAACATAGTATGTCTTCCCATTCATGTTTGTTTTCCTTAGGGCCGAAGTGTTTCATTTGTTAAGTTTATTTCTCCTTTTTCTTTTGGTTTTGTAACCAGTTTGGGCATGAAAATAAACAATTACAGATCTTCTTTTTTTTTTTTTTTTAAGCTTTCGTCAGGAGTGATAAACCCAAACTATTCAGAGGACTACAAATCAAGGTATGGTTGATTTTAATGGAATCTCTTTATTCTTATGTTAATTTCTTTTTTTAATTAAAATAAGTGAATTTTTAAATAAATAATTAAATGTTTACAAAGAGTTTTTGTCGGTAGCCTGATCAGAAATGTTTAAGTGTTAATGTAATTAATGATTTATTAGCTCACAGGGCCTATAGTTTAGGGGCAGTTTTTCCTTAAACTAAGGTTGTTTCTGTGATCAATGAGCATAATGTTATTTTAGTTAACTTTACGTTTTAGAACTTGTAATTGGTTACATAAAATGACTAAAAAACTGAGTCCTGTATCTTAATGTTAATAATCAAGTATGCATCTAGCATAGGTAGCAAAAAATCATGAATTGACTTTTTGAATTGGGACTCGGGGTGAAATCCTAACATTTACTTCATAGGTAACGTTGGTAATTATCATTCTAGGTGTCTGAAACCCCAGTGCCAGTAGTAAGATGTCTCTGAGGCAAGGCATAAACAGCCCTCAGCTTACATTTCTAAAACTCCACAAATGGAGTTGGGAATATACCAAGTGCTAATAGTACATCAGAGCTTGTCTCCATCTCTAGAGTTCACAACCTTAGAAGACCTAGAAAAACTGAAGCATAATTTCCGAAAGAAGTTGTAGGCGATCCCTATATCTAGTTATTTAGTTGTCCAGTTCTACTTAATTTAAAATTGAAGGTTCAGTCTCTTAAAAATGGAATCATATTTGTTGTCACATTTACCCAGAGTTGGAATTTCTCAGAGCTGTCTGATAAATACTGAACCCAATTAGTGGATCTGAAGTTTCCAGAATCCAGCCCAAGTCTAGACTGATTACAGCAAAATCATTAGATTTCTTAAACCTAGGAACTTAATAGCCAGAGTGGAATCCTGAGTCTGATCATTTATTTTTGCATAGCTTTGCATAGCTTATTTCAACATTGTTCCTTATACCATCCTTCTCTCTCATCAATTAACTTTGAACTGGTCTGTTTCCTCCATTAGATTTTAAGCTTATTTGAAAGTTTCAGAGTGCTAGGTATATAATGGGACCCTGGTGGCACACTGGGTAAGCGTTCAGCTGCTGACCAAAAGGTGGGCAGTTTGAATCCACCAGCCACTCCTTGGAAACCCTCTGGGGCAGTTCTACCCTGTCCTATAGGGTCACCATGAATCGAAATCAACTCGATGCAGTAGTTTTATGTATATAATAAATATTTGTTACATTTAGTAATAAACTTAAATCTTAAAATAGCTTGATACCAACAGGTGTTTTTCTCTTTAGAAGTAAAATGTGTGTGTTTTTTGTAAGTTATTTGCAAAAATCCCATAAACTTTTTCTTAAAAGACTACCTTTAAGACATGTTGATTCTCATGTTATATTTGAAAGTGTTTTTTATTACTATTAAATATAATGAAGCTGGATTGAATTGTTTTGAACCTTGCTTGGGGCTGAGAAGGTTCTTGATGAGCAGAAAAATAATGACGACATTTCTCTTTTTTGTAGTATGTTCGTGGTTCAGACCCTGTACTGAAGCTTCTGGACGACAGTGGTAACATTGCTGAAGAACTGAGCATCCTCAAATGGAACACAGACAGTGTAGAAGAATTCTTGAGTGAAAAGTTAGAGCGCATATAAATCTTGCTTAAATTTTGTCCTATCCTTTTGTTATCAAATGAAATATATTGCAGTACCTAGAAAATAATTTAGTTTTTGCTTCCTTCTTCCATTGATCAATCTTTTGACTGTGAGGCGTTGAACATCTAATGAGAAGTTGAAGTAGCAGCACAGCCCATGATACCTAATGAGTTGGCAAGCTTAATAACAAAACCCATTTTTTATAAATTTCCATCCTCTTTCATTTGTTGATACCACTAACTAAATGCTTTGTAACAGACTTGTGGTTAATTATGGAAATGATAGTTTGTGATAATTGGTCCAGTTTTACAAACAACAGATTTTTAAATTAGGGAGGTTAATAAGGGAGAGGATTACTATTCCTCATGTGCTGTGTGCTCTTTGAAAGTAATGACAGAAAGCTACAAAGCAAGTAAGATATACTGAGCCTCAACAGATTGCCTGCTCCTCAGAGTCACTCGTATTTTTGTATTACCCAGCTTTCCTTTGAATAGAAGTGTTATTTATAGTTTATAATAAATGGAATGCAATGCATAAAAACTTTGTAACCTTATTATTGTGAAACAGAGTCAAGATCTACAGTACGAGTGAAACATTCACAGAGATTCGCATTAATGAAGACTACACAGAAAACCTTTGTAAGGATTTGTGTGGATCTGATATTTGGCAAATTTTTGTGTTTTACATTATTAAAAATGAATTTTAAAAGGATCTCTCTTAAGAACAAAATGTAAATAAAGTTTCAAAAGTCTATCTGAATTTGAAATTTCTTCCTGTTTGTTTTTTCGTGTTTAAGAATGACAATTTCCTTGATGCATTTTTATCATTTTCTTTTCATATAACCCTTTTTTCCCAAAATTTTAAAATGGCTACACAGTTTAAACTTATAATAACTTCTCATTATTGGTAATAGTTCTTTACATATTTTTAAGTGCTTTCATTTATGATCACATTTTTATTGATGTTTTATAAAAAGGATGCTTTTTTTATAATACAGAATTTTTATGAGCTATTAAAAATGATTTTTCTACTTTGTTTAGCTGTCTGTCTTGTCAGAGTGACTCCTTCATAAGAGGTGGCTCTCTAGGACCAGTATTCATCCAGATGTCTTCTAGGTCATTAAAACTTCTTACTAACTTATCTAATTGGGATAATATCCTGCCCTCTCAACTTAGGATAAATTCTTACAATCTGAAAACTTTCCTATATGTTGATTTTGAATTAAGTCACCTTAATAACAAATATATGAAAAGTCTTAAAGACAACTCTACCAGAGAATGTAATATGCTTATTTTTAATAGAGATCACTTATTAATCTTTACTAGCAGTTTGTATTATGTAATATTTAAATTAAGAAGTCTGTTTTTAAGGCCAGCAAGAGCAGGAAAAAATCTTGAGCAATTTGGCTAATCAAAAGATACTATGAGAAATCCTGACAAACAGACCATGGTCTACTTTTGATCATCAGTAATAATGGAGAAGGCTATCATTTTGATAGTATAAGGCACTGGTTAATGTGCCACTGATCCCTAATGGTTGTTATTACTTCAGGGCAAGAGGGAAATGAAGTCACTCATGGACACTGGAAAAAAAAAAAAAACAGAGGGAAGTCTCCACCACATACACAATGATGGGAAAGGAGATCAAACTTCAGAACTGGGGTTAGCATAGAAAAGTAATTAGACTGGTCTCTGGCCAGGAAGAGACAGTTAAATGAATATCTGGCATTGGGATTGGAAAAAAAAAGAGAGGCCTAAGAAGTCTATTATATTGAAGTTATTATGAGAGATCAAAAGAGACTGAAGAACCCCTCACCATCTTTGAGCTTAAAGTTTTCCAGTTGATGAATAAAAGTATATCTTCCATGCCCCACTATTTTAATTGGGAGATTGAAGTTAATTCCAACTGCTTTTCACCAATTCCAATCAAAGAACAACTGAAAGCTTTTTAAAGAAACAAAACCATTGATTACCAAGAAAGAGCTGTAAGTACTGATCCAAAAAGGACCATTTTGTAGCCAAATTCTGATATTTGATTAAGCTTATTCAAATTCACAAATATGGATATGTAACAGTCACTGATATTTATAAATTTACTTCCCACTGCCAACACTGTATGTCGGTTATAACCTAGAACAATGTTTCTCAAAATTTCTAATTTTAGCAAAAGCCTCTTACAAGGAGCTATGAGCAGTTAATGTCACTGAATTGTACACATAAAAATGATTGAAATGTTTTGTTACATGTATTCCACCACCATAGAAACAAAAAATTTTTTAAAAGGATGTATGACAAAGAATTGATGTGCCCTGTTTTAAGAGGATCTGAAGCTTGAAAGCTATTCTAAAATTAAAATTAATAAAATGCAGAAAATGCTTTTGAAAGCAAATACTATAAAACTAAGTTAAAATTGGTAGCAGCTAGTAGGTGAAAACATCAGCAAATGTGTGGAAGGTAGGATTACAGATTCTAGTTATAAGCACATCTATGGAAGTTTCTTTCATTTGAAAATAATCTTTTAATTCTGTGATGACAGTGGACCTTTTTGGGGGGCAGGGGGAGCTTTTGTATTCAAAAATTCAAAATAGACTTTGCTGATTAAATGTAAACATTTTACCTTTGAACTGGCCCTTGGCCCAGGAGTCACTACTATGAAACAATGTTTTTCAGAAATACTGAAGCAGTAAAACTAAGGATAATTATTTGAAGCCTCTAAAACTAGTCCTTTCCTGTTATCTTCCTGAAACATACATGCTAAGTGCAGTAATTTTCTATTTATCCAGCATTATGAAAATTGAAGTTAGACCTTTAAATTTAGAATTTTGTTTAAAAAATTAACATTGAGATATTCATATATTATAAAATTCACCCATTTAGAATATCAATGTAAAGGTTTTTAGTCATAGAGTTGTGCAACCATCCCCACAATCTAAGCTTAGAACATTTTTATCACCCCAAAAAGAAGCCCCTGTACCCATTACTGGGTCACTCCCTATACCCCGTTTCCAGCTGTAGCCAGCCATTAATCTACTTTTATAGATTTGCCTATTCTGGACATTTTATATAAATGAAGTCATACAATGTGATCTTTTGTGACTGGCTTCTTTCACTTAGCGTAATGCTTTTAAGGTTAATGTAGCATGTATCAGGACTTCATTCTTTATAGCTGAGTAATATTCCATTGTGTTAAATACCACATTTTGCTTATCCATTGATGAACATTTGGATTGTTTCCACTTTTGGCTGTTATGAATAATGCTGCTATATGCATTTGTATACAAGTTTTTATGTGGCAAATGTTTTCATTTAGATACATTCCTAGCTGTGAAATTACTGAGTCACATGGTAACTCTATTTTTAACTTTTTATGGAAACTGGAACGTTTCCAGACTTCCAAAGTGGCTGTACCATTTTACATCCCACCAGCAATGAATGAGAGTTCTGATTTCTGTACATCCAAGAGTTTCTTGATATCTCAAACTCGTTGCAGTTGAGTCGATCCCGACTCGTAGCAACCCTATAGGACAGAGTAGAACTGCCCCATAGGGCTTCCTTTCCTTATGAAAGGAGCCCTGGTGGTGCAGGGGTTAAGCACTTAGCTTCTAACCGAAAAGGTCAGCGGGTACAAACCCACCAGAAGCTCCGTGAAAGAGAAAAATGTGACAGTTTGGAAAGATGTGGTAGTCTGCTTCCGTAAAGATTGACAGCCTTGGAAACCCTATGGTGCAATTCTCTGTCCTATATGGTCACTATGCGTCAGAATCAGCTCTATAGCAATAGGTTTTATCAGGAGCTATGGGGATATGTTAAGCATGTTGCTCTTCCACTAAATGATCTTTAGACTGTAATTCTTTTTTAATTATTTTTGGTATGTAAACCTCAGTTTTAGCTGCCTCTTCTCCCTTCTTTGCTTTAAGGGATTTTATTTAATTTGTTTTCCTCTTCCCCCAGCTTCAGTCTTGAAAAAAACCCACAATGACCTCAGATCTGTTGGAGATCACATTCTAGTGGGAGAGGCAACCATTAAGCAAAAACACAAATACATAATTACAACTATGGTAAAAGCAATGAAAAAAATTACTAGGAGAGAATTACAGAGAAGACATAAATAAGTTTAGGAGTTCAAGGATCTCTAAGGATTTAAAATGAGGGCTAAAAGATGAACAAAAGCTATCCATCCAAAGAGTGATTGGAATGGCTTCTAAACAGAGGGAAAGGCATGTGCAAGGGTCCTGGCTTTGCATACTGAAAGAAGTTCAATGTGTCTGGAGCCTAGTGAGCTGGGGGAAAGGGCAGGAGGAAATAAGGTTGGGAAGGTAGGCAAGAAGGGTCCAGTATAGCCATCTTAAGAATTTTATTTTACTTAAAGTTACTTTTAGAATAAAACCAGAAAAGGAAAAAACTTTAAGAAGGGGAATGGCAAAATCCAGTTTGTTTTTAAAAGATTAAAGGTCATTTTCAATCAGCAAGTATTCAATTATGCCTATGTAGACACTTAAGTGCATTATCTAGTGGTTTCACTAATGACTGATAACCTTTTTAGGGGCTTCTAGCATAGTTTCCTTTTTCTTTTTTTTTTTTTAACTATTCACCCACTTGCTTTAAGAACAAAAAGCATAAAGTTTAACATTTTATGAGATTCCAATGTTCATCTGTACATACTCAAAGAACTCTTAGAATAGTCACTAATTCTGTGAACTAATAGGAAGGGCTTGTCACTGCACTCAGGCACTTCTTGTCCCATCTTTGAGCTGAGCATTAATCTCAATTCTGGCTCCAATCAAAGATCATGGAGCACCAAATTTGGTTGGTTGACTCAATAACTAGGATAAACCCACCCACCTCCTTTGTGATTAGTGCCAGGGTTCTTGCTGCAGGGAGCGCTGATGGTGCAGTGGTTAAGAGCTTGGCTTCTAACTGAAAGGTCGGAGGTTAGAATCCACTAGCCACTCCTTGGAAACCCTATGGGGCAGTTCTACTCTGTCTTAAGGGTCGCTATGAGTCGAATCACTGCAACAGCAACGGGTGTACCCAGACTTTTCACCTAAAAGTGATTAGCATGGCTGAGATAATTTTCAAACAACTTGAACATCTCTAAGTCAGCTTCACACAAGACCTTCTCAATCTTAGAGCAGGACACTTGTCCACACTCACAACACAAGTCGATAATTCTGTAGATCTGGTTATCTTATTTGTTGTTGTTAGTTCCCGTCGAGTCTAACAAAACGAAACATTACCCAGTCTTGTGCCATCTTCGTGATAGTGGATACATTTGAGTCCATTGTTGTGGCTATTGTGCCAATCCATCTCAATAAGGGTTTCCCTCGTTTCGCTAACCCTCTACCAAACATGATGTCCTTTTCTAACGATTGGTCTCTCCTATTGACGTGTCCAAAGTAAGCCAGCCAAAGTCTCTCCATCCTCACTTCTAAGGAGCATTCTGGTTGTATTTCTTCTAAGACTAATTTGTTTGGTCTTTTGATAGTCCACAGTGTATTCAATTTTCTTCACCAGCACGACAATTTGAATTCTTCTGTCTTCTTTTTTCACTGTCCAGATTTTGTATGCATTTGCTACAGTTCAAAAGACCATGGCTTGGATCAGGTCCACTTTAGTCATCAAAGTGACATCTTTGCTTTTTAAACTTTAAAGAGATTTTGCAGAAGATTTGCCCAAAGCAATACATAGAATTTCTTGACTGCTGTTTCCATGGACATTGATAGTTGATGCAAGTAGAATAAAATTGTTGACA